TCTATCTTTTATGTGTTCAGTCGTTTTTCATTTCACTATGTAGTTACATTAACTTTCAGTAACAGCTACCCTGTCCTAAAAATGCCTACTGTGCACTTGGGCACCGCATGTGGCTTTTAATTTCCAAATCTGAGCTTTGCTGTTCAGTTGGTCTAAATGTCTGGAATAAATTGGTTACTAGATTCCCAAGTATATTAGTATATATCTGAAAATAGCTTTAATAGTTTTTCACTTGCTGGTTAGATAATGAAGTGAAGAGTAATACGATGACTGTGGAAGTTTGTGATATTTTGGTTTGAGTTCATGAAGCCTTGGTTGGTATTTTATAACCAAACTGCCCATAGAATTATGGACAGTAGTTCTGACTTGAAGTGCTTTCCCCATTTATGTTGGAATATATGATTATCAGTTTCCCTCTGTAGACAGTTTGTCCGTTATTGTGACATTATGATTGGGTTAGGACACCTGAGCACTAACCTCCATTTTCAGAATGTTTCTGCTTTTTAGTGATAATTGAGCACACTGTTGCTCTGTTTTTAAATCTGTTGAGATACACTTCACGTTGTTAATGTAAATATTTTATAGCCTTAGCTGAATTTCTTACAACAGCTCTTGGTCTTGACAGCTGAGATCAGCTGGCTCATGTTTCTTAATGGCACTTAGATTTGAATTTTGTGGGTTGGGAGGCAGAAAGAACTACTTGGAACTGGTCTGTTTAATGCATGGTGGCTTTAAATTCAGGCTTAAAAATGGGCCCATTTATAAAAAGAAAGTCTTAATCTCCAGAGTTCACTCTAGAGAAACACTGTGGAGTTAAGAACTTGGACTTTTTTTTTTTTTTTTTTTTTTAAACCATCCATTGGTCCTGGTAATTTGAGGTGAGAAACACTGTGGAGTTAAGAACTTGGACTTTTTTTTTTTTTTTTTAACCATCCATTTGTCCTGGTAATTTGAGGTGAAGGAAACTAATATGAACTTCACATTTTCATTTCAATTTGAATTCCAAGATTCTTTGATTCTCTAGAGCCAAAGTGTTTCACGGGTTTTCATGCAGAGGTTATGACTAGAGGGGAAGAGTGCTGCCTGTTGGTCTTGAGTGACAACCCCTGCCCTCTGCCCCAGCTGAGAACTCAAAGCATTGTTGAATAGCACTAAAATGAGCTGAGTCCAAGACTTTAGCCAGATGGTCGATATAGGGCTTTTAAAGGAAGGGAAATAGTAAAAGAGTAATCTCAGAGGAACTCTCTTATGTTAAAGAACTGAGAAAATGAAGTCTTTCTGAAGCTAAGTGTAAATTATACCACCTTCTTTGGGAGCAAAAGCTGCTAAATGTAACAGAAGAAAATGACAGTGTAGGAAATCAAAGTTCAGGAACAAACTTTCAAGTGTGGTTTTCAAATGCTTAATCCTCTCTTACTCCTCTCTCAGGATCCATTGCCTCCTTTTCCTCCCCCTCCTCCAAAGTCTGTTTGAAAGGGATTTGATGGGTAATGGCAAAGGAAGGCAACTTTAGACAGAGTATAAATTAGGGCACAAGATGCCCTTTGTACAGGAATTATCTTAGACTTGCTTTTGAAAACATACTTTTTTTTAGTCTTATTAAGAAAATAATCAAAGGTATGATTCTTAAAGCTTTGAGTTTAGTCTGCTTTCAGTAAAAATAAGGTATAGATACCAAAATAAGCAAAGCTTTTTTTTTTCTTTCCTGGTTTCTGCTTATAAGATTTACAGGTATTTAAAATAAACCTATGAAAAACAGAAATACTGTCCTGGGATTGGCTAAATAGTCAGAGCAATTACCTCTGGGCTCCAAAATCCAACTGAGCTTGACTTTTGGAAATAAATTTAGCTAAGACTTCTTCCTCATTCTGTTCTATAAAGGTGTACATGAAATGATACTGACCTTTGCCAGAAACCCCAGGAATCCTATTCAGTGATGTACTTGTAATGGTCATGAAAGAATTAAAACAACACAGATGTGGATTAATGTGAAAAAGTAGGCAAAACGCTAAATTCTCATTGTGTGGTTTCAATGTGGCAGATCCTTTAAAATACTTCGGTGTACCACAATAATTAAAGGGTTTAAGAACATTACGTTAAAATACCTAGAAAATAAAAGCCTACAGTTGAGTAACAAGAATGAACTATGTTTTATTTTTTTAAATTGGAATTAATGTAGGTTGCCCTGGTGAAAATAGAATGAAATATTTAACAGTAACTGTTTTGTGCAGCACTAGAGATCAAAAACAGTAATGTAAATAAGCAGGTCTTTAAAGAATATACTCACAGACATGTTTAATGTAAATGATTGCTAGAAGGGAAATGTATTTTCTTCAGTGCTATGCAAAGAAATTTTAATTGACTTGATTTTGGCAGTAAGAATCTACAACTTAGCCTTAATAACTAAAAATTTTAAAATATTTGCTCATTGCTCTGGATTATGACTGTCCAAGAATTACTGTTTTCAAACACTAATTAATCATTTTAAATAAACTTTTTTTACACATTTATGGCATCAATGAGTATGACTGTTTATTACATTTTACCTATAAAAAGTTGAACTGTTTTATATACTCTTTATGGAAACAGTGCACAGTCATAAATTAAAAGATGCAACTGTTTTGGATATTTTACTGGTGGTCCTGTGTTTTCCTGCCAGCCATGCAGCTGTTTTAGGTTTCTCAGGATAACATATAAAAAGCTGTATGTACACTGCAAGTTTATGCTTGAATTGCCAAGCCAGAGATGGTATGACTCAACTTTCCCAGAAGCAAGTTGTACCAAAATGTCATGAATCAAAACAACTAGTTGCATAGTGGTTTGTATTACAGCTATGAAAACCAATTCTGTTTATGATAGTTGGCTTCTTAAGGTTGACAGACATTTACTGTGGTACCTGATTTTTGCCATGAATGAACAGCCATTGGAGCTAAGACTGTGCTTTTCTTTTGAGGATCTGAGGAAAGGAAAAAGGGTAATACAACGGTATCTGGTGTATGGATAAAATTTACTTGGAAACTTATATTAGGAATGGAATGTTTCATTTCTAAGATACTTGTAAAAATATTACTAAATATTACTTATTTATGTGATAGTGAGTTCTCAGGGAAGAGAAATTGATTTTATCCTGTTCCAGGTTGATTTTTAGACTTGTGAGATGACTTAACTTACATCATTTCTCATGCATCATAATCTTAACAGTGGACATTTTATTGTGTCCTGGGATGTAATAAGCAGATACTTCTTCTGGCCTTGTGGTAGATTTGGTGAATCCGTTTAAGTCCCGGGGGACCTAAGGTTCTATCAAGAGTTTGACAATGAAAGTGGGATGCATCCCATCAAGGTTTATAAGATGGGATGTAGGGAGAAAATATTAGAACTTTTGTTGAAATATTTTTATCTCCTCCTTTAAATATTTATATGTATTTTATAATATGCTTCTATATTAGTATATTATGTATAATTATATACTATATAACTATGTATTAATACAATAGGTATATGATTTATAAATAAGTATACAAATTTTAGAGATACATGCTCAAGTATTTTTACTGCTATAAGTATAGTATCAAAAGTCTGTAGGGGTGCCTGGGTGGCTTAGTTAAGCATCTGACTCTGGACCTCAGCTCAGGTCTTCATCTCAGGGTCATGAGTTCGAGCCCTGCACTGGGCTTCACGCTGGGCATAGAGCCTACTTTTTTAAAAAAAAGTTTTAGATCATTGCTCAATAAGTATTAATTTCCTTTCTCCTTCCACTTTTCCCTTTCACTCTTGGCAGAGAAGCAAAGAATTGCGTTAACACCTTGATTTGTGGTAGTGTGAATAAATTATAGCCAATTCCGGGAGCTTATCCTGTGTCTTACTTTGAGCACTTTTTCTATTGCCCTCTTATATTGCCATATATTTTTTAATCACACAACCTTATTAAACATGGATACAAATGAAAAACAGACTTGTTATTATGTTAGAAATAATAAGTTGCTCATGCATCAAGACTTTGACACACAGGAAGTTTGAATGAATGAGTAGAAAAGTTTCCAAGTTATTAAAATGTTCTGGTACCTGATTTATTCATTTGCCATAACCGTAATTCTAAGGCGGATGAAGCTCCTTTACTTCCTGAGGCCTGAAGAAACAATGTGGTTTCTTAAACTAGGCATTAAAGCAAGGCTGGAAATATTTGTTTTCCAACAGTGCTCTTAGTCATGCTAACAAGTTGACCCTTTTTGGCTAGGATTATCCTATATTTTAGGCCTGTTTGTTTACCTTTATCAAGGTAGAAAGTTTAATTGCTAAATAATATATGTGTGATTGAAGAAAAATGGTGTCTGTTACACTGTCTTTTGAGATCAGTTCAAAAGACTTCTTCTGTATTTACTAATTGGGACATTCTGTTGAACTCAGGATGTCAGATTTCTTGGGCATGTAATTGTCTAAGGTTTCACTTCCTGTATGGAAGGAGACAATATATTTTTGTAATGCTGAAGTAAATTTGAAGTAACTAGTGTTTTCTCTCCTCTCCCCTCCTCCATTTAATAAGTATTTATTTCAGAATATATTTATGTAAAATAGTCAATATTTATGTAAAAATATTAATAATACAGTAGTATTATGATACCGTATACTTATTTATTAAGAGTATGCCAGGAGGACAATAGCAGTTAGGTACCCAAACAACAGTCAACAAAACAAGTTCTGAAGATTGGGAACGGTGAACATTTTAATAGCAAGTATTATTTTTGGAAAACTTGAGAGCTCTTTTTAGATCTTAATGTAATTTGCTTTATAATTTAGTTTAACAATTGAACTAGTTTAGGCAGTCTATATATAGTTAGTATGTTTCTTTTTAAAGGGTAATAATGCATTTATAAAGTCAGAACATTTCAATCTCAGAATTCCCCTTTAAAACGTGAATCAGTTTTATTATTGCTTTAAAAAAATAGTACCAATTTATATATGCTTTCTATATCAGCGCTACACTTTTTGTTTTGTTTTAGGTATTTAAACCATGTCAGAGCTGCCTCTCCACAGGACCTTGCTGGAGGCTATACTTCTTCTCTTGCTTGTCACAGAGCGCTACAGGATGCATTCAGTGGGCTTTTCTGGCAGCCCAGTTAACCTTTATTTCTCCTTTCTAAGATTTGGACCCAGGAGCCGAACCAGGGAGCTAGCAAAAGTAAAGCAGGCGTGTAAAAGGAGAGCCCTGTGCAGCTGCCCAACAACAGTGCCACCGCTAGCAGCTGTGTTAAAGTATTCGTGAGAAAATTTCAGAACTCAGCTGAGTAATATAGTGGATAAATATATGTGGAAAAGATTTATTTTTTACTTGTATTTTTCTGAGAGGGATTGAAGCATTTATATGGTAAACTTCATCTGATGGAAGATATGAATAATTCACCTATGTATGCTTGAGGTTGACAGACTTGTAAAATCTTTTTAAAAATAAAGCTAGACTTTATATTAAGTTTTGTGGTTTTTCTCTTATTACAGTGTTTTACTTGAACACATTTTAAAATGCCATTTTGAATACGACATTTAGTGTTAATATCCAAGCCTATTATTTCATCTCATAAAATGTTCCTTTTTTCCGCCCTGTGTTGTTAATACTAGTCCAGACAAGTGGATATATTTCCTTCTACCAGCAGGTTGTGGCAAGTAAAACTTGACCTATGATAATGCCACTCTCTCAATATGAAGGACTCAGTGCCTGTTTTGAGCAGTGGAAAGTGAGACAAACCTTGATCAAGGTATTATAGTTCCCAGCTGTGAGCCACACTTAGGATAAACCAGACGAGAGTATTAACCTGCTTTAATGACAAATTCAAAGAAGTAAGTTAATAAAATTTAATACTTAAATGGCACCTTTCACTTCAAATGTGAGCTCATTTTATGATGAAACCTTGGAGACTGGAATGGATACATTTTAAACAAAATTTTTCTCAGTAAATTGCAGACTCTGATATAGTTTCTGTTGAAACTTCAAAGACTTTTAGTATACCCAGGATTTTGCTTAGAGTTGGATGTGGAGAGGATGGATATTTGTAGCATCTCAACCTTATATGAATCTGTTATATAGACCACCGTGTATGGGACATAGTTTCTCAAGGAAATTAAGGGATTTCCTATCAAATGTCCATTATAACAGATGTTAATTTTATGGGAGGAGTTATGTGAAACAAAGTTTGTGGTTACATTAGGGTGGAATATCCACAGGTAACAGCTCCAGCTTATTTGCCTAAGCAGGTATTAATTTCAGGTACATCTTCATCTTTAAATATAGATGACCCTTGAACAACACAAGTTTAAATTGTATGAATCCACTTGTATGTGAATTTTTTTTTAATTTACCTTATATTTTTTTAAAAAAAGATTTTATTTATCTATTAGAGAGAGAGAAAGCACAAGCAGTGGGAGTGGCAGGCAGAGGGAGAAGCAGGCTCCCCGCGGAGCAGGGAGCCCAACGTGGGACTCGATCCCAGGACCCTGGGATCATGACCTGAGCCCAAGGCATACGCTTAACGACTGAGCCACCCAGGCGTCCCTGTGGATTTTTTTTGTACAGTACCGTAAATGTATTTTCTCTTCCTTATTATTTTAACGTTTTCTTTTTCCTAGCTTACCTTATTGTAACTATACAGTGTTTCATATGACATACAAAATATGTATAATTGATTATTATGTTTGTGTTAAGGCTTCTGGTCAACAGTAGGCTATTAGTAGTTATATTTTGGGGGGAGTCAAAAGTTATATGTGGATTTTCCAGTGTGTGTTGGGGGTGGGTGGCCAGTGTCCCTAACCCCTGTGTTAGTTAGAAGTACAGTTGACCCCTGAACAGTCTTTGATAACTAAGAAAACCAAGGCATCAAATAATTGAGTAGGCTTAGATCATATACACAAGTTAGTAAAAGATCAGAATTAAAACTGTTTGCTTTTTGTTTTTAATTTAAGTCTAGTTCTGTCTGTACTTTACAGGCTGCCTTCTATTTTTCATATCTATTAGCATTCCCCAATTGAGGATTAGGATTTTAAGTACAGTCTATAAATCTGTTCAAATAGTGAGAACGTTGACTTAAAGTTAGGACTTTGCTGTACTCAGCTGCTGAAGTACAGTATCCAGCCTTTACAAAAGAAATACTATTACTTGTTCTCAGTACCTTGTATAATGTATTTAAATAAATGAACTAATTAATAGAACACTTTATAAAGTCTTTCAAAACGTTTTTCGAGCCTACCTCATTATTGTGGAAATTGTCTGCATCTGATTTGGCAAATAAATTGAATTCCAAAACCTTTATACATTTGTAAATATTTTGTTCTTACTATTGCTGTACTTTGTTCAATAAGGCAAATAAGTTTTAATCGACCTTATTAGAGCGAAGGGAATGGTGAAAGGTAACTTAATGACAATTCACTAAGTAACAGAAATACTCTAAATTGATGAGATTATCCCCATCCCCCTAGTGATTTCCTTTCTCAGAGACAAAAGGCTGTAGAAGTCCTTCATATACATCAATTAAGTCTTTTAACTTCGTACAATACTAGCCCAGAAACAATAGCTAACAACTACTGAGCATTACCTATGCACCAAGTACTGTGCTTCATGTATTGTGTATTATTACCTAATCTTTACAATGCTAGTATTATTTCCCCTATTTTAGCAGATGGAGAAACTGAAGCATAGGGAGGTTAACTAACTTGCAGAAGGTCAATACAACTTAAAAGTAGCAGAGTGGACTTGAACCCAAGTGGTCAGAATCCATGCTCCAGAGTTGAATATCAAACTGTCAAGCTAATAAACAACAGGCTGTGTAGAACCAAGTCTGAGTAATCAAACTTCTTAAGATTTCCAGGAAGTTTTACAGATCAAGTGTCTACTTATTTTATGGCATATAAATGACATCAACTTAATCACCTTATTTATATCCTTGAGAGAAGTTCTGAGAAATTTATTATGTAGAACATCATTTGACCATTAACTACCTTCCTTTTAAACAGATATTAATGGTATCGAATACATTTACATCGTAGTTGGAATGCACTAGTAGTATTCCTTAATTTCATTCACTAAATATTTGAACTAAGCTTCTTTAGGCTGTCAACTGGTGGTAATTATTTCAAAATCCAATTAAGGTGACAGAAAACTTGTCAAAAAGCTAAGAAAATTAAAAAATTGTATCCAGTGAGCTTTATAGCTGTCATTTTCTAGTGGACATCAAGAATTCAGTTACCAGGTATCACATTTAAAACTTTAGGGTGGGCCTAGATTTAAATAATGAAATAACCCCATACATTCACTTACCCACTCTGAGGGAAAACGGGGAGGAGTTAAGATGTTAATAGAGGCTGCATATTTGACTAACTAGTGGCAAGAATCTTACCACTTTCCATGTATGAATAAAAACATCATTTGTACCCATATTTAATATTTATAACCTAGCATATCAATGTACAGTACTAGGAAAAAATTCTTCTACCTGCAAATTAAAATCCTCTTCACCTAGATCATGCCAACTGTAGACCCCTGGCCAAATCCAACTGCCACCTGTTTCTGTATGCTTCATGAGCTAAGATTGATGTCTACATTTTTTTAAGGTTGAAAAAAGCCAAAATCATATACTTCTTAACAAGTGAAAAGCATATGACATTCAAATTTCAGTGTCCATAAATAAAGTTGTTTTGGCATACAGTGTTTCTGTATTGTTTATGGCTGCTCTGGGGGCTACTACGACAGAGTTGAGCAGCAAAAGAGACCTTATGACTTGCAAAGCCTAAAATACTGTCTGGTCGTTTACCAAAAGCTTTCTGACCCTTCACCTACATACTCCTCACTTGGAAGGGAGGGAGGAGAAGAAAACCAGAAGTCCCAAACTGGCAATCCCTGGCTGAATTAGCCCCCAAGGTCTTGCAGAAAGGAAGTCTGGTTGAGTTTCAAAAACCATTTTTAAGTGCCTTTAGATAAGGGATGAGGGCTCCAATTCATTACTTTCCTACACTTCTTACCATTTATTGCCTTCATCTATTTATATTACCTGCCTCGCTTCTGAAGGCATTTGAGTTTGTAATGAATTAGATAAGTGGTCCTCAAACTTGTTCTGTAGGGCTGTCAGACAGTAACTATTTTAGGCTTTGTGATCAAATAAGTTGGTACAATGTTTTTAATGAACAAAATTCAAAATATAATTGGGTATATATAATTGCATTGTTTTAACTCCTTTTTTGGGGAATAACACTGGTTCCTTTAATTGGGGTTCTAAGTGTTTCCTATCATCAAAATCAGTTATCAATGATTACCTGTTAATGGTTATCTATAATGAGATTTTACAAATTTCATCTCTAAAAATGTCTTTTCACACAAATAGATACTGCCAGAATACTGGCATTAGTCTTAGAAGCATAAGATTTTAACTGGGCATATTCATCACTTGGAAGGCATTTGTAAAAGCCTATTAGATTCTTCCCTTGATATTTGCTTTAGCACGTCATTACAGAGTACATTGATCACTTCCAATTGCAGGTAGAAGCTCAATTATAGGTAAATGGATTTTGAAATATGTAAATTTCCTTTTATTTGCATTTTCACGAAGGTCCCAAAAATGTTGAACACAGAAATTGTATCCACTGCTAATTTGAGGGAAATCTTGTTTCTTGTTTTAATTTTCGATAGCGTGAGAAATGTGTTAACACAAGATACTGCGATTCAAATGTCAGTTGTTGAAATGATGACCACAGTTTCACAATGAAGTTATGTTTGCCTAATATATATAGGTTAAAATCTTTAAGAATTACTATCAAGTCATTAGCAAAAGCTAATTTCCAGAGCCTTTCAGTGTTCTAGAATGTTTTAAGAGTGGTTTCTCTTATTAAGAAAAATTTCAGTCTTGACCCTGAGCTCAAAAAATTGCAATCAAACTTCACAATTGCTAAGCAAATCAAACTTAGGTTGAGCAATTTCTGACAAAATTCAATCATGGTTAGAATCCACAAAAGCAAATGAAATTTACCATTAACACTACTGGTTCAGTAACACATGACAGATTCAAATATCTTCTGCAGGGTACTTGCTGGTGAATAATAGAGTGAATAACCACAGGTTTTAAATATGTTACATTTTCACAAGCTTTATATATTTTTCCAACTAGATCTTTTTCTACTTTGCACGTTTTAACCAGAGTTGTAACACATCATAGCAGATTCTACTTCAGGTTGTACAGAATTGGTGTTTTCTCAACTTTTTAAAAAATACCCATAGTTGTTCCATACAGAGTATTCATAGAAGCTAATTCTTCAGTAACTCTAAATTCAGCACTGATGTCTCAAATAAACAAGACCTGAACAGTATTAGTAACATCTGCCAACTCATCAAGAGTCAAAATCATTTACTTTCTGAATTGACTTGATTTTGCCCACAAAGTCCTAAACTCTGAGCAACTGTTCTTGCCAAAAGGCCAATAGT